CCATAGAACGCTTGAGCATGGAATGGATTCTGATGGGAAGCCTCAAGGCCTACACCTAAGGCCCCACAAAGGCATCCATTTGGATTCATTCCGTTCTGCGATCTAGAGAGTTTGAGTATAAGAACGAACTCTGATGGGAAGCCTCAAGGCCTACACCTAAGGCCCCACAAAGGCACCTATTTGGGTTCATTCTACTTCTTGGAATCGGGTAATCAGAAGTATGATAGTTAGAAAACTCCGGCAATCACAAGAACAAATATGATGTGTTCGAGCACCGGTTTAGTTATTGATGGGAAGCCTCAAGGCCTACACCTAAGGCCCCACAAAGGCACCTGTTATAACTAATACGGTTTCTTGGATACATACATATATACAACTAAAACGCGACACCCATTTTACATCTGCCATGCTGAAGATGGCAATGGCACGCCTGAGCACCTAAAAGTTAACCTTGATTGTGAGCCCCAAGGCCTACACCTAAGGCCCCACAAAGGCACCTCTCAAAGTTAACGTTGTCCTTCTCTTTCAGCCTTGCCCGACGAGCCTTGCCCGAAGAGTCTTGCCCGACGAGACTTGCCCGACAACGCCCGACAACGCCCGACAGTAAAGCAGAAGCCCGACAGCAGCCCTCAACCGGCGCCAACCTCCAGGGGAGCTGTGTGCTCGTCGGCCAGGAAACACCCCCGTTGGAAATTCCTGACGCGAACATAGTTTTGGCACGCCCAGTGGGATATTAAACTTCTTGATCTTGCATGTCCAAAAAGAAAAGCCATCAACTTGGCAAAAAGAATCCGAAGGAAAGTCTTCTACAAATGGCAGATCAATCAGAAAACCCTTCCTCCTCATCAGGACAAGTGGTCCTAGAAAGCCCAACCACATCTGAGAGATCGGAAGGAAAGGGAACTAGTGAAGAACTGTAGGCTACGATGATCCTAGTGCTAAAGAGCATGGAGAGAATCTCCTTGGAAACCAAGGGAGAAGTGAGGAGGCTCTGTACACTAACAGGGAATCTACAGAGAAGACTTGATTTGGAGTTCTCTACTCCAAAAGGGGCTTAAGGAAGTGGGATGAGCCAAGTTATTATGAGAAATGAACCAATCACTCCCTTATTCCCACTATTAGAAGAAGAAAAAGATAGGGGGAAGAAAAAGGTAGTTCCTGAAGGGAGTCAACCGGTGATGGAACCAGTTCTGGAAAATGAGCTTCCCAGCTTCCCATTATTATTATTCAATAATAGGAAGCCAAGCGAGCAAGAGAGAACGAGGTACGGGATGCTAGCTATGATGGGAGAGACTAGCGGAAAGGAGGGCTCCACTACTTCAGATAAACCCCCACCTTATAGGCCACCCCCGTTGGTGAATAAAGGTGGAGGAACTAGTTGGAGGAAGCCCGAACCAAGGAGGGAAGCAAGTGTGAGCAACGACCGGAGCCCAAAAATTGAATCTGCTCTCCTCGGTCATAATGATACTCTAGCCACTCAGCAGCTGAGGGAGGAATTAGCTGAGTTGAGAATGACGGTTGCTCAAAATGCTCAACCAAGAGCTCGCCCAGTGTTCAGGATCACTTACCAAAAGCCTTATCCTGAATATATTGACGAGCTAAATCCATTCCCTCTCAACTTCAAGATGCCCGCATTCCCAACATTCACAGGTGAAGACAGCAGCGTGTCCTCCAGAGACCACATTTTCAAATTCTCCAATCATTATGTGGCATATGAGGACAATCCAAATTACAAATTGAGGTTGTTTGGGAATTCATTGGTAGGGTTAGCATCTCAATGGTACTCTCTATTGCCCCCTAACTCTATCACCAACTGGGGGCAAATGGAGATGGCTTTCCACGAACAGTTCTACAGAATAGAGCCAAAATTGACTATCAATGACCTTGTTGAAGTCAAACAATACGATCATGAATCTACTGAGGACTTCATGATGAGGTTCAGGAGAACAAGGATGAGATGCCAATTTCCCGTCAACCAAGCGCAGCTCATATCGATTGCTCAAAGGGCTTTGAAATTACCTTTGAGGAAAAGATTTTATGATGCACAGTTTAATGAGCTGCAAGAATTGGTAATTGCTGCCACGAAGTATGAGAGGCTGTTGCAAGATGAGCAACAAGTGAAACACACTTCCAAAGTTCCTCCTTTCTACAAAAATAAGGCTGCAATTCATCGTGTGGAAGTGGGAGAAACCAGGCCAGAGCATGAGGGTGGCCGTGATGAAAAGGACATGGACATGTGTGCCGCTGAGATGACCACACCTTTCAAGCCATTGACGGTAAAGGGGCTAATCCAACCTGTCAAGGATCAGAAGGTTGTAATGAACGATGGTGGTTTTGTCCCCATAAAACCACCCAAGTACCAGAGTTATTCATTCGATCTATCCAAGGCGCCTGAGATCTATGAAGAACTGGTACGGGCGAGAGTAATCTTGCCCAACAATGCCAAAAAAATGCCCAAGCCGGAAGAACTCAGGGGGAAAAAGTATTGTAAGCTACACTATACCTTCAACCATTCCATAGTTAATTGTGTCCAGTTTAGAGATTGGATACAAGATCTTATAGTGAAGGGAAAGTTGTTGCTTGACTCACCCCAAACCAGTATGATGGTGGATACGAACCCGTTCCCCAAGGCTCCTATCAATATGATCAATCTCATTTTAAATGAGCCAGGGTCACCAATGGGTACTGCATAGAAAGGAAGGATCCCAGGTTGTCCCAACACCCTTGCATGAATAAAGGTGCCATGAAGGAGGCCAGGGGATCAAGATCAGGTCCTCAGATTGACGCTAACAAAGGAAGTAGAAGAGAGAAGAAAATAAATAAGGGGGGCAAAGAGTTGCCCAAAGTCAATTCAAACAGTACCAAAGAGCAGAGCAGGAAGCAAATTACATGTTCATTCCAGTAAGAAAAGAGTTACAAATCATCCTATTCTAAAAAATTTACATCTTCACATAGGGTGATTATTTGAGAATGATATGTTTGTATAATGGCAAAAATCCTACTGGGTTCGGCCAAAACAGTATGGTTATTTACAAGTTGAGACTGGGCATGCTCTAACTCCGAGTTTGATTTCTCCACTCCCTCAATTTGGTTTTCAAGGGTATCTAGAAGAGTTGCTTGTTTTGCTTTAAGAGCAACCAATTGTTCCTCCAGCTTTTGGATTTTAGAAGTAACAACTCTGACCCTTTCTTTTGTCTGCAAGCTTTCTTCCATCAACCGATCAACTTGGGCAGAGGTGCTTGATTCTTTCTCCATGAAGCATTTTGCCCTATTAGCCTGTCTGTCCGCTCTCTGGTATTGTTCCCTAAGGGCTCTCAAGTTCTCAAAGAAAGATAGAAAAGAATCATGTTGAGGTTTTGATAGCCGACCGATTTTGAAAGACTCAGTTATGATCTTCTCAAAATCACAAAGAGCCTTGAGGCTGAAAGAAGCAGTGAAATCCTTCCTTGCCCATTCCTGAAGGACTCGCTGTTGCTCTGAAGAAATGGAGGTAGCTGAAGATTGTTTTGAAGATTTCAACCGTGTCTCAAGCCGTCCAAGTGCTTCGAAAAGTCTGGGCAACTTAGTAGGGTTTGGAGATGCGAAAGGAGGAGGATCCTGCACTGCAGCTTCCTCTAATGAAGGAATGCCTATTGAGGGGGCAATTTCTGCCTGCCCGATCTGCTCAATTCCAGAAGGGGGAATCACAGTACCTCCAGAGGATGAGTGAGGATGGGAGCGCTTTGATTTACGGACCAAATGGGGGGGAAGTTTCTCTTGGAGCTTGCTGCAGAAAGCCAAAAGACCAGGTCAAGACAATTTGAATACAGTTTAAGGCAAAAGAAGATCTGGAGAGATGAAATGAACCTGACTCAGCCCTGGGGTTTCACTAGGAAGATGACTAATTCCTGGTTGGCGGGAAGATTCTTCACCACCAGCAGGAGAGTGAAGAGCTGAACCTGAACCAGTACCAGTGCCCTAGAGGTACCCAGAGATAGCAGTAATTGTCAGTAAATAGAGCATAAGAGAAAGAACAAGAAGAAAATACTCGCATACCTGAGTTTGGTCTTGAGGAGAAGAATGAGGTTTATCAACTGTCGGGCAAGCAAATACCCACGAAATTGCTACCTCTGAAGCTACAGGGATCTCAGGGACTATGGGTTCATTATCTGAAACCACTATTGAAGGGGGTGGCTCATATACCGGAGAAGGCTGTAGAGAACGTGAGTAAAAGTTAGTTGGGAAGCAATGTACAGAAGTTCAATATGGAATATGTGACTCACCAAGTTACTGTCCTCATCCACGAAGTGCAACATAACTCCTGTAGATGGATCGAATTAAGAAGAAGGGGTTGCGTCTAGAGCAGTAAAAGAAGTCATAGACCTCAGAGGAGGGCCATGACAAGGCAAGGAAGCAGATGCTCCAGCTTAAAAATATTCAGACATTAGGTCCAGAAGTTGGAAAGTTATCCAAGAATTAGAAGAGAAGAAAAAGCACCTCTGGAGGGTCGACCTGGGAGGGAGATAGGCTTGTCTCTCGGGCAAATTGTGGATAGACTTCGGGCGGAGAGAGCTTTTCCTTTCTTGCCGCCTAAGTCAAATAATCAGATTTAGAGTTATATGAGAGCAAGAAGAGGCCTAAAGAAAAATATATAAATCATACCTCAAGTTCTCTGAGGGCCGTATTTTGCAGTTCTTCGGCCTTTTTTAGCATTGCAGCTCTCAGTGGTTCCTCCTTAGAAGCAAGGATTTGTCTTTTAGATTCTTGGGGTCCTGTTCGCCGGTAAAGGAGACAATTAGATAAAGGAGAAAGGTAACAGTTTGATGAAGAAAAACAGAAACTCACTTGAGGATTGTTGCTTCTTTCTGCTTGCCTCAGGAACTGGAGCAGATGGGGCTGATGACTTAGGAGGAGCGGTAGTTCTTGCTCTCTTACTTTTTCTAGTAAGAGTTGGTCGTGTGGTTTTGGGTAGAGGTACTGGATCAGGATCTGAAGTCTTTATCACAGCCGCTTTCCTTCGTTTAGGGTGCTTTAATAAGTGCCTCGGGTGTTTCTTCAGCTCCTGAATCCCCAAAGGATTCTGAAACCTCTGCACCCTCCCCAGCTTCTCGTCTCCCAACCTCTGCGGCAGCTCTATGAAGAATTGCAGCATCAGCAGAGTCATCCTCGGATTCAATGACTTCCGATTCAACATCCACTAGAGCTGCAGAATTCAGCAAAAGTAAGGATAAAAGGACTTCAGAAGGGAAACAAAATCAGATTGAAAGAGAAGTACCTATCAGAAGAGACCGATTCTTCTCTTGGATCATCTCCTTCCAATTTTCAAGTTCGCCCGAGCCAGGGTATGACTTAAGTGAAAGTTGGTTGAAAAGGTGATCGTGAGTCTCTTTCAAATCTCCTTCATACTTCTTAATCCATTTGTCTTCCCACCAAGAAGAGAAGAGCGAGGTGCACTCAAAATTGAGAATGATGGACTTTCGGGCCGCTTGACTCATTACGTCAAGACTGCGTCGGGCAACTCGGAATGTCACTTCAGATGGAGTTGGTAACCGGAATGAAGTGCCACAATGGACAGAGTCGAAGAACGGGACAGGAATGGCCTGTCTAAATCCTAACTGCCTGCTGCAAAAGTTAGGATGGTACACTTCCAAGCCTCGGTCATATCTATTGCCCCGAACTCCCGAGGCCAGGTTTCTCGGTTGAATGCAACTAATAAATTTATCCCTGCAAAAGGGGGTAGCATCCTCGCCAGGGGCATCTTGAAAGACTTGGTCAGAAAACCAAGGATATCTTCTCAAGACCGACGCACCCCATTCTAAATCTGATCGAGTCCTACAGACTCTGAAGAAATAAAAGCAGGCAAAGGTGGAATGATCTATGGGGGCAGCTTCAGCCAGGATTCGGGCAGGGGCCACACCCTCCAGGAACTCCAGATTAGCAGCCTGAAATTCCAGAAAGTACCATTGAAGCCAAGTTTGTATCATCCATATAGGTTCATTCAAGTTAGTCTCAAATGGCTCGCCTTTAGTCATTTCGAAAAGAAGATGATAAAGATAGGAAAGGAGGAATGGACCTGTAGCTACGTCATCAAAGTTGTGAAGAGCTTCTACTAAGGGGATCCATTCAGCCCTCACCCCTTTAGATTTGTTGGGGAAGATGTGCTTGTTGAGCCAGTATAAGAGGAAATACATGTGCTCCTGATCTTTATCAACCCGAGGTGAGCCCATCCCAAAATTCTCCTTTACGAAAGGGATGAATCCTTTGAAGGAGGTCCTATAACTCTTGAAAGTTGCAGAGTTATAGTTCAAAGAGAGGAATGCAGCAGATGAACTTGAGCTTCCAGTGGTAGAGGACGGAACCCAGTCTTGAGTGACGTCCACTATCCTGCCTGAGGGCCTTAAGCCGAAAAACTGAGCCATGTCAAGAATGGTGGGAGACATGGGGCCCATACGGAAGTCAAAAGTATTCGTGCCCAAATTCCAGAAAATGAGGGCAGAAACAAGCAGTTTGGGCTTGGGAATAATAGAGGTCTTCGAAAGCATGATTAACTCATAAATACCATTACTCATCCATTTCCTCTTAAAAGTAGGCTCCAAATCATCAATCCATTGAGCCCAGGCAGGATCGTTCATCAGAGGAAAGCCTCGACGATATGATGACCATTTGGAGGAAGAGATGCCCGACTTAGCCGAGTAGGGATTTGGGGAAAACCAGTTATCTCTAGGCATGTTGCTTTCCACCACTGAAGGGACCCGAGAAATCCAAGCGGGACCCAATGATTGTACCCCATACACCTCAAAGAAAAACTCGGAACGCAGACCTGCCCGAGGGCGATGCAGCCCATTGAGTAGACGACGCAGAGTGGCGATTCCTTCGCCAGATTCGTAAGAGGGTTGGGTTTGGCTAGATTCCGCAGTCATTTGAGGAAGTTCGAGAAGGGAATACCAAGGAAGATGACGAGGGCGAAAACTTAGAGAAGGATGTCTTGCTGTGAATACAGGGGATTGAGGAGTTCAACCACAAGGGGTTCGTGGGTTTATAAAGAGCCTTTTTCAATCAATATTGGCGCCTGGAATTCCAGGCTAAATATTAATTGAAGGGGGCACTGTTTGGATCAAAACTTGAACTTTGGGCTAAAGAAAGGAGCTGGCCCGAAAGGAGGCCCAAAGGGAAAGATAGCCAGAGCCCAGTCAAAGCCCAGAAGGTAGAAAAAGCCCTTTTCTGACTTGGTGCAGCTTATGAAGACCACTTGCTTACCTACCCAAAGGCCAAGTGGTGCAGACTGATCAGCTACACAGCCCATAAAACACTTTATGGTGGCATTACATGTAAAATAGCTGATGAGTCATCACCCTCAAAATCGCATTCGGGCAAGGCTGCTACAGAAGGCCAAGCCAAGTTGTCTATATAAGAAGAAAGAAAAGCCAGGAATAGGGACACTCAATCAAACAAACAAATGCAAGCACAAACTTTGCTCAAAGCCAGATTTGCCTTCAAAACGAAGCTGTAGTCAGCCTTCATCCCTCTCGGGACAAGCCTTCATCCCTCGCAGGATAACTCTCCCTTCAAACCTTCGTAATAGCTCTGCTACCTTGTTCAACCTTGCTGTAGTATCGATTCATCTTTTGTAATCTCTCTCTCTATCCCTCTAAGCTTTCAGACCTTTGACAAAACTACAAAGATAGGAACCTACAAGATGAGCAACCTTACCTGATAAGGTTTAACCTTGCCCGACCTTCTTTGTTTTGTTTTTGTCTTTTCAATATGTTGTATACTTCCAGTTATATGCAAGTTATTTCTAGCAATATGACTATTAAAAGGCTTTCTCAGTACTTGAATCCGATTTGAATATATCGTCAGTGTTCAAACCAGATCCAAGTCCTAAGCCCTCGGGCATGTAAATCTGATCAGTTAAAAGTCCTTGGCCTCAAGGCATAAAAAAGAACCTTATGTGGACTTAACCCATCCACGACAGTTCTTGATAAACGAGAAGTCCGAAGTTACTTGGGGTGCAAGTAATCGACCTACCTTCTAGTTTTCTTTCTATTATGTTACGATTACCATAGAACGCTTGAGCATGGAATGGATTCTGATGGGAAGCCTCAAGGCCTACACCTAAGGCCCCACAAAGGCATCCATTTGGATTCATTCCGTTCTACGATCTAGAGAGTTTGAGTATAAGAACGAACTCTGATGGGAAGCCTCAAGGCCTACACCTAAGGCCCCACAAAGGCACCTATTTGGGTTCATTCTACTTCTTGGAATCGGGTAATTAGAAGTATGATAGTTAGAAAACTACGGCAATCACGAGAACAAATATGATGTGTTCGGGCACCGGTTTAGTTATTGATGGGAAGCCTCAAGGCCTACACCTAAGGCCCCACAAGGGCACCTGTTATAACTAATACGGTTTCTTGGATACATACATATATACAACTAAAACGCGACACCCATTTTACATCTGCCATGCTGAAGATGGCAGTGGCACGCCTGAGCACCTAAAAGTTAACCTTGATTGTGAGCCCCAAGGCCTACACCTAAGGCCCCACAAGGGCACCTCTCAAAGTTAACGTTGTCCTTCTCTTTCAGCCTTACCCGACGAGCCTTGCCCAAAGACTCTTGCCCGGCGAGACTTTCCCGACAACGCCCGACAGTGAAGCAGAAGCCCGACAGCAGCCCTCAACCGGCGCCAACCTCCAGGGGAGCTGTGTGCTCGTCGGCCAGGAAACACCCCCGACGGAAATTCCTGACGCGAACAGGGGGCTTCTTTCTTATCTGACACAAACCCAAACCCAAGTAAGAAAGAGACGAAGCTCTTCCTCGGCCTCGGTCTCGGTCTTCTTCCAAGTCCCCTTCTTGAACTCGGCGTCGTCTTTTGGTTGACTGCAGCGAACCAGTGCGTCGTTTTACTCATTACAGTAAGAAAAACCTCTCTCTCTCTGTGTCTCCCAGTCCTGCTTTCTTTTGCTATTTTCCTCTGTTGGGTCAGCTTTTTTTATGAGTTTTACAGCAAGGCTTTCTGTTTCTGGAAAAAAGGGCACATGCTTTTTCAGAAACCTGTCTGAAATTTTGTATCTTTTTAGAACTTTGGTGTTTTGGTTTGATGGGATTGCTGCTACATGTATGATCATGTTGTTTCTTCGGGGTCTTGTTTTGTTTATGTGCTTTCATTGAATTTTTATGTGAAAGTTTGATTCTTTGGGGTGATCAGATTGTTTTCTTGTGTTTTTTAACATCCTGGTTTGTGGGTTTGTTGGAATTTGATGGTTTTGGCAATGTGCATGGTAAAATTTGGTTCTGGTGTTCTGCATGTTGGGTTTGATCATTTGGGGAGGGTGAAAAGAATGGACCTTTGTACAATGTGGATTGAAATATTGTGTTATTTGTAAGATTTGTTGATTGAAATGCTTAAATTTTAGCGTGTCGGAGACAATTGTAATGGTTTCTGGTGTATCTGATGTAATTTTGTTTTATATATGAACATATAAGCTGGTGAAAGCAAGGTATGCTGTTTTCCTATTGCTTAGTGGTTAATGAGATTGATTAACAATGATGGTATGTGGTCAATTTTCAAATAAATATTTTGTTTCGTTAGGTTTTCAGGTTACAATGATTGTTCCCATGGTATTGTCATGGTTTTTTGTAATTAATTGATTTGAATATATTAAAAGAAATCATGTATTACCTTTCTTTTTGTAGCTGAACGGTAGTTTATTGATTAAGGTTTGATCACTGAAGCAGGAAGTGTGTATTGTCGGTTTATGGAGTGCGGTTGTTGGCCATTTGGTAATTCAACGGACAATCCCTGTTTGTGACTAATTTCCATGTATATTTCATTGTTTGAGTGTGCCACCACACATTCTGTACTGGTAGGAGTTAGAGCTTCCAGCTCAATGTTTTAACTTAGCAATGCTAAATGCTAAATGAAATTGTTAGCCATGAACTTGTAACTCATAAGCATAGCGATTGCTATACTGGTGTGGACATAATATCTATGCGTCACAGCTGTTATATGCAATTCCATTCAATTTCGTGTTTGATATGGATGCTTCAGGATGTGTCTGTAAATGTGTCTGCAACGCAAATCAAGTTATCAAATCAAGTAATTTATTGACGTTGACTTGTTACCTGTTTCAAGGATTGGTATAATTTTCCCATATAGAGGTTTCTTACAGGATAATTTCATATTGGATCAACACCATTTGTTACTGATATCAGCTTTCTCCAAAGGTCATCTTTTGGCATTGTATATATGTAGCACACAGTTAAAGGCATACGTAGATGTATGTTACTTTTCCCCCTGCTGACCTTAAACTTGTGATTGAACTCACCGTTAGTACCTAAACTATGTGTACAAAAATTTGGAGGCTGTTCACTATGAATTTCCACAGGAAGCCCTTTTTTCGTTATATAGTAAGCTTTTGCGGTTATCTACTCTTCATTGTTTAACGCTCTGGCTATCATTACAGGTTGCATTATTTTTTGTAAGTAGAAGGGGTTAATCACACCCCATGGACAGTGAATTGTATGAAGAAGAGCCAGTGCGATCTGGTATCATAACTGCCATACGTCTAAATGTTACAACTGGGGAAGACGTTGTAAGTATTTTTTTTCCCTTTCTTATGTGCTTCCTTATACATATTTTCTTGTGTCTAGTTGGTACTCTTTCAGTTTTGTTAGCGAGTTTTTATTATTAGACTCGAACCATTTTATCCGCATATGTATCAATTAGGTGTCCAAGTTTAGTTATTTTGTCATCTCAATAAGTTGTATTCATACTCCATTTAAATGCCTTCCAGTTTCCTAGTAATCATGTAATGTAATAGTGCTGCTTTTGTGCATATGCATGTATTTTGAACTTTAGTTTGACTAGCACGTGACAATAAAACATGATGTTTGCTATTGGTGTGGCATTTGAATTTATACAACTCAGACTATCTTGTATATGACTTTTTCTTTAGACATTTCGTATTTAGTTTGAAGATTAAACACTTGTTTTTTTTTCTCCCTGGAGTGGGAACCATATTCCTTCCATATATGCTACTGTGAATAGGTCTCTCTGAACTATGTTCTTTTATCATCTCATTAAGTTGTATTGGCACTTTTATTACACGATACCTTCCACCTTCACATTTGTTTGTCCAGTGTTATTTATATTCATAGGCATTTTTAATGTATGAAATCTACTTCTGGAATGTGTTTGAACATTTTAGTATGGGTAAACGTGTGAAGGGGTTATTGGTTTCATGGTTTCTATTTAGCATGATGCGTTTGCTATATCAGATAAGAATTTATTAATACTTTATAACTCTGTAACAGCTGAGGATATCTGAAGAAACACCAATCAATACAGCCAGTGAGGTCACTGATCCTAGGTTCGTACTTCCAAATCCATCCGGCCTGTGCTCTACTTTGTTGAAAAGTAAATTGCTTACTAATTTCAAGTTGGTAAATTATTTACTTATCTATTTTATCTTTGTTCTATTGAGTAGCTGTTTTATGATGTGATAACTTGTGCTCATATGCCAAGTGTATGGTCTTAGATCAGGACTCTTTTTCAATGGCTCATATGCTTTGTTCTGCCATGTGTCAAAATCACATTGGCTCATGTAATTGAACGGTTATGATGTCTGATGTAAAAGAAAGGAATGAATATGAATGAAATGTTGCTCTTTGCAGTTGAGTAGAGTTGTAGTTGTGAACAAACCTTGCCTCTCACTCTCTCTGTCTTTTCAGCTCCCTCTAAAATCCAATTCCTATATATATCAGCTTACTAAAAACTTAACATGGTATCTAGAGCTCAGGTTCTATCTGGAATCGGGGCGTAAGATCTGTGAGTGCTGTGCTCGGAAATCCAACGTGAAATTTCCGACTCAGTTTGTCGATTCAAGTCTCAAATGGCTGGATCTGGTGGTAGTGATCTTCGGGCTCCAATATTCAATGGTGACAACTATGAATTTTGGAAGATCCGAATGAGAACTATTTTCAAATCACATGGAATCTGGGATTTAGTTGAAAAGGGGTTTGAAATTTCATAATCGAAGGATAAGAAGATTGGAGATGAAGGCTCATCGGAGTCGGAGAGAGTTTCTCTGAGCGACAAGCTAATGAAGGATGCTAAGGCATTGGGTATAATCCAAGGAGCTGTCTCGGATGACATCTTTCCCAGAATCTCAAACGAAGAGACCTCAAAGGGTGCTTGGGATATCCTACATCAGGAATTTCATGGTGATAAGCAAGTGAGATCCATCAAGTTGCAGGGTCTACGCCGTGATTTCGAGTACACAAGGATGAGGGATGATGAAACTCTGTCTATGTATCTCACTCGTCTTCTCGAGTTGGTAAATCAGATGAAGGGTTATGGGGAAGATTTACCTAGAGAGCGATTAGTTCAGAAATTGCTCATAAGCTTAACTAAGGAGTTTGATCCTGTTTGTTATGTAATTGAACAAACTAAAGATATTGAAACTATTGAGGTACAAGAGGTGATTGCAGCATTAAGAGGGTTTGCATAACACCTTGATAGGCATGCTGAGAGTACCATTGAAAGAGCTTTCAGTACTCTGAATCTGAATTCGAAAAGAACCCAACCAAATCTCTCGTTTGGTAATTCTAAACCAAAGAAGGATTGGAAATCAAAAGGAAAGAAATGGGATCCTAAACCTCAGAATCTTGCTAATCGAGGTGGCAAATATGATCAAGGAGGAAAATCCGATCAGTCTAAGGGAAAATGCAAGCATTGTGATAAACTGCACTATGGTGAGTGCTGGTTTAAAGGGAAGCCGAAATGTCATGGATGCAATCGTTTCGGTCATTTCATCAAGGATTGTGATCAACCAAACAAGTCTGGAAAACTTGTAAACTATGCGAATCAGGTAACAGAATCTGCAACCATGTTTTATGCCTGCCATTCTGCTACTATTGGAAGAAGTATGAATATATGGTATGTAGATAGTGCATATAGCAATCATATGACCTCCCATGAATCCTTGCTTATTGATGTTGATAAGAATGTGAAGTGTAGAGTTAAAATGGGCACTGGAAATTTAGTGCAGTCAATAGGCAAAGGCACATTGGTGATTGAGATGAAAGGTGTGACTAGGTATATTAAAGAAGTTATGATTGTACCTGGATTGGATGAAAACTTATTGAGTGTAGGGCAGATGGTAGAACATGGACATTGGCTTGTGTTTGGTGATTACATGGTTGATATTTATGGAGATAGACAGATGGAAGATCTGATTGCAAGTGTTCCAATGAAAGGAAACAGATGCTTTCCATTAAGTTTGGAATATGTTAATCCTCACATGGCTAATAGAGCAACTGTTGAAGAGTCATCTTAGTTGTGGCACAGAAGATATGGACATCTAAACTACATTAGTTTGATGCTTCTGCAAGAGAAGGAAATGGTGCAGGGCTTACCTAGACTACAAGTCTCTGAGCATGTTTGCTCTAGATGTGCTACAGGGAAGGGTCACAAGGAATCATTTGACAAGGGAAAAGTTTGGAGGGCATCACAACCTTTAGAACTTATTCATTCTGATATATGTGGCCCAATGCAGATAACTACTCTAGGAGGCAACAAATTCTTTCTCACATTTATTGATGACCACACTAGGATGTGTTGGGTATTTTTCTTGCAGCACAAGTCTCAAGTCTTCAACATTTTCAAAAGGTTTAAATCCATGGTTGAGCTACATAGTGGCTATCAAATCAAGAAACTCAGAAGTGATAGGGGTGGAGAATATACATCTCTAGAGTTTTTAGGGTTCTGTGAAGATATGGGATTAGAAAGGCAATTGACTGTTGCCTACTCTCCACAACAAAATGGTGTTGCAGAGAGAAAGAATAGGACAATAATTGAAATGGCAAGAACTATGATGATTGAAAAGAAGATTCCCTTGAAGTTTTGGGCTGAAGCTGTCAACACAGCTGTGTATCTGCAAAACCGATGTCCAACAAGTGCTCTGAACAACACAACTCCATTTGAGGCATTTAGTGGGAGGAAGCCAGGTGTCAAACATTTGAAGATATTTGGTTCCATGTGTTATATTCACATTCCTTCATAGAAAAGACACAAACTGGAGGAAACTAGTGAGAAGGGAGTATTCGTTGGATATGGAAATTGTGAAAAAAGATATAGAATCTTCAACTTGAGAACTCAAAAGGTTGAACTATCAAGAAGTGTAATCTTTGATGAGAAAGTAATATGGGACTGGGAAACTAATGAATCAGTTCAAGTTCCTAGTCCTTGGAATGATGAAAGAAGCTCAAGGATATCTGAATTTGATCCAGATTCAAGTGATTCACCTCAGTCAATGCAGTCTCCTCTGAGATCACAATCAACTGGAGATCTGCAAGCATCTCAAGAACCTGGTTCACTTGGTTCTCCAGTTCCAATCTCTGGAAGTTATGATCATACTCTACAGAAATGGAAGAGTTTGAGTGAAGTATATGCTCAATGCAACATGAGCATCATTGAACCTGAAGATTTCAGTGAGGCAGTCAAAGATGATGCTTGGAAAAAGGCTATAACAGAAGAAATATTGATGATTGAAAAGAATTCCACGTGGGAATTAGTTGACAGACCTAGTAGTAAACCTATTGTGGGTGTGAAGTGGGTATACAAAACAAAGCTGAATCTTGATGGCTCCATTCAAAAACACAAGGCAAGACTTGTAGCCAAAGGTTACACACAGAAACCAGAGATTGATTTTAATGAAACCTTTGCACCAGTGGCAAGGTTATATACTATTAGAACACTCATTGCACTAGCTGCACAGAAAGGTTGGAAACTGTGGCAATTAGATGTTAAATCAGCCTTCCTGAATGGTGTTCTTGAGGATGAGGTATATGTTGATCAACCTGATGGTTTTGTGATTAAAGGGGCTGAAGACAAGGTGTATAGGCTGAGAAAGGCTCTCTATGGTCTAAAACAAGCACCAAGGGCCTGGTACAGTGAAATTGACACATATTTAATTCACTGTGGATTTCACAAAAGCTCAAGTGAAGCAACTTTATATGTGAGAAGCATGGAAGGTGTTGGTACCTTGATCGTGTCAATCTATGTTGATGACATTGTGTACACAGGGAGCAATGCAGAAATGATGGAAGAATTCAAAGCTGAAATGATGTGCAAATATGAGATGTCAGATTTGGGTTTACTTCATCACTTTCTTGGAATGGGGGTAACTCAAATTGAAAGGGAGTATATTTATACATCAGAAAAAATATGCTCTAACTCTTTTGGATAAATTTGGGCTCAAAGATTGCAAACCAGTGAGCACTCCATTGGTTGCAACTGATAAACTGAGAAGAGAAGATGGAAGTGAACCTGCAGATGAGTGTGAGTATAGGAAAATAGTTGGAAGTCTTCTGTATTTAACAGCAACTAGACCAGATATTATGTTCTCTACTAGTGTACTTGCACGATTTATGCACAAGCCTACCAAGAAACATTATGGAGCTGCTAAACGAGTCCTAAGGTACATTCAAGGAACAATTGGCTTTGGAATTGAATATTTGAATGGAAAATCTGCCTTGCTGATTGGATATTGCGAAAGTGACTGGAGTGGATCTGAGGAGGATATGAAAAGCACCTCAGGGTATGCTTTTTCATTTGGAAGTGGGGCATTCTCATGGGCTTCAGTCAAACAGCACAGTGTAGCTCTTTCAACTGCAGAAGCAGAGTATGTTAGTGCAGCTGAAGCAACATCTCAGGCCATTTGGCTTAGGTTTGTGCTCAAGGACTTTGGAGAAGAGCAAGCTGCAGCAACATCGCTATTCTGTGACAACACTTCAGTTATAGCTATGTCTAAGAATTCTGTGTTTCATCAAAGAACCAAGCATATTGGCAGGAAGTTTCACTTTATTCGAGATGCAATTCAAGAAGGTACCATTGATCTGATTTACTGCAAGAGTGAAGAACAAATTGCAGACATCTTTACCAAGGCTCTTCCCAAAGACAGATTCAACAACTTGAGTGCTTACTAATTTCAAGTTAGTAAATGATTTACTTATCTATTTTATCTTTGTTCTATTGAGTAGCTGTTTTATGATGTGATAACTTGTGCTCATATGCCAAGTGTATGGTCTTAGATCAGGACTCTTTTTGAATGGCTCATATGCTTTGTTTTGCCATGTGTCAAAATCACATTGGCTCATGTAATTGAACGGTTATGATGTCTGATGTAAAAGAAAGGAATGAATATGAATGAAATGTTGCTCTCTGCAGTGGAGTAGAGTTGCAGTTGTGAACAAACCTTGCCTCTCACTCTCTCTGTCTTTTCAGCTCCCTCTAAAATCCAATTCCTGTATATATCAGCTTACTAAAAACTTAACATACTTGTGGTGCCGAAAACAAGTTAAAGAACTGTGAAGGTGTGGATAAACATTTAACATTGTTCTTGATGTGGTTGTCTTCAATTTTGGAATTGGTTTTAATCAATCGTTTTAATTTCTAGGTCATTATGGGCGTATCCAATTTCCATGCTCAGTAGTTCATCCTTATTATCTTGTGGAAGTTGTTCAAATCTTAAACAAGATTTGTGTAGGATGTAAATCCGTTAAGCAGGATTTTAAGGTCAAGGTCAGCTACCACACTTTTTGTGCTGATCACTGAGATGTGACTTACAGTTTGGCACTATTGAACATTTGTTGCCATTTATTTTCCTTAATGGTTAAAGGTTGAAGGGTGATATGTATGTTCGTTCTGAAAATTGTTGTAGAATTTGTTGTAATTCTGACTGTTAAAGGAGATTTCTTATGTAAATTATTGGAAAGTGTAGCATGATACGCTTGAAAGTAGCATTCAGAGGTGACACATGGTTTCAGATTCCAGATATACTGTTGTAGTATGAAATTATATTACTTTTTTAAGCTATATGTGAGAGTTCTAGTTGTCCACTTTAAACTATAACTCTCGTGTGTGTTATCGAAAGAAGTAGTTACTTACTATCTCCTATTACGCATGCATCAGGGTGCTAACTCTGTAACTGTTAAGAGAAAGCGCCAGGAGCGCAAGGGCTGCAAATATTGTATGGTGAGTTTGTTTGTCTCTTTGAGTGTAGTTTCATTCTGTCTGCACCTTTGTAACTTCATCGAACTTTTCAATTAATAGGGAAGTTCGTTAAGCTACCCAAGAATGAAGTTCAGAGTTTCTACGAGAGAACTCTTTAAAAGAAGTTGTACTATCATGGAAGCAAGCGGAATATTGCCTTCTGACTATTGGGATTTTATTCCAAAAGATGCACATCAAGATGAGAGTTGCACTAAACCAAACAAAAGAATTCTATCTCATGCGCAGGTAACTGTAGTTCTTATATATGCTTGTCTTAATTGGACAATGTTATAGAATTAACATTGATGTGCATTTTTTAATGTGGTTTTAATGAGACAATTTCTTCAAACTCATAATTACTTTCCTTCTTCATAAATTCATTAAACTGATAAATCAGTCAGATGCATGCTTATGCATGGACGTGCAGTGATGCACGCTTACATAACTGTATGTATGAAATTATGAATGCATGTACGCCTACATATTTTCTTGTGTGGAGTGGAGTACATTTTAGAGCATTTGGGTATTACCATTAGGAGATGGAATTATGAAGTTTATGAAATTGTTTTTTTAATGCGATGTTCTCCTCCTTGAGCCATTACTCTGTGTAAGAAAACAAAAACCAAGGTTGTTTGTACCCACTTTTACACTAAAATGGTTAGCATTCATTTTCTCCTTATTGCATATGGAATGCAGGATAAGAAATAAATTGATGGGAGGTTTGTGTCTTAACTAACCATTACAACAAATTGTTACCATATGAACCGTCAAAGTAGACATACAATCTTTCTCTGGATTATAAATTCAAGAAATAATTGTTGTTTCTCTGATTGATTCGTAATTTTGTAACATTAATGCCGCACTTTCTAGTTCTTACGCAGATCACTCATAAACATGACGCCTTCTTTCTGGCTTTCAGGTTCATCATTTGTTGAAGGATGTTGATCCAAATTTCATTGCGAAGTTTGTCCCAATGACAGATTCACTTTCTATGGATTTATTCCTTGTAACTCCAAATAGTCATCGCGTGACAGAGTTTATGCATGCTTTTGCTAATGGGCAGCGGTTGATGTTTGTAAGTTTTTTCACTACTTTGATTGTCTGGATTGATTTGGTTGGAAAATTACCACATAATTCATGACTTTTGTTTTTTCTTGTCTTTTATGCCTGCTTGTATGAATGATTGTAGGACCATCGGACCAGGGCTTATAGGAAACTTTTCGATTTCAAAGGTGTAGCTAATGAGCTGGGTTCTCATGTTTTGGAATGCCTGAAAATTTCCAAGGCAAGCTAGTCAGTTTATTTGTTTTTTCCCTGTGTTTGTGTAGATAAGACAATACAGTTCTTGCTTATGTTCATCCTTCTTACATGCAGTTGAACTCAGAGAAACCGGGCAATGATTTGATTGCTGCTCAGCTAAAAAATGTTAAAGATGATCGTTCAAAATCATCTGGTTTGAGATGGATCAAAGATGTTTTTCTTGGGAAGAGAACTGATCACTGTTTCCACATGGTGGTTGTTGGTGATCCAAACATTAAGCTCAGTGAAATTGGTATACCCTCTCATATTGCAGAGAGGATGCAGATAGCTGAGAATCTGAACAGATGGAACTTAGAAAGGTTGGGTGCCATCTGCAATCTACGCCTAATGTACAAACAAGTGATGCATGTTCGTAAAAAAGGTAGCATCATTCTCGTACGCCAGACAGACGAATTGCTGATGGGAGATACTATTTACAGGCCTCTGAGTGAAGGAGACATTTTGTTGATTAATAGGCATCCATCAATACATCAACACTCCCTCATTGCTTTATTCGTCAAGATACTTCCGGCAGCACCTGTTGTATCTATAAACCCACTCTGTTGCTCTCCATTTTGTGGTGACTTTGATGGTGATTGCCTTCATGGCTATGTTCCTCAATCAGCTGAGGCCAAAGTTGAGCTTAGCGAACTTGTTGCTTTAAATAAGCAATTGATTAATGTGCAGAGCGGTACCAACCTACTTCTTAACTGCTGCCCATTTGATCCTGGAGGATGATGTTCTCTTGAATTGTTCTCAAATGCAACAGTTGCAATGAACTGCCGTCAATGGCAATAATTAAAGCTCCTTCACTTAATAACACTGCTTGGATTGGAAAGCAAGTATTCAGCATGCTCCTACCTTCAGGTTTTTATTATGATTTTGCTCCAGATGGAGTTTGTATTCGAAATGGGGAGCTGCTATCCTCTGAAGGTTCTTCGTGGTTGCGAGATATGAGTGGAAATCTTTATCAGAGTCTCGTTAAACATTGCCAGGGTCAGGTACTTGACTTCCTACATGCTGCTCAGGAAGTTTTTTGTGAGTGGTTGTCAATGATGGGTTTGACTGTCTCTCTCTCGGACTTATACCTCACTTCTGACTCATGCTCAAGGAATAACTTGATGGAGGAAATTTTCTGTGGGTTGAGAGAAGCAGAGCAGGTACGTATATTAAACAGTTGTTGGTGGATAGTAGTCGGGAACTTCTTATGGGATGTGCTGAAGAGAATCAAAGTCTCGTGACTTCGGATGTCGACTACTTCTGTCACGAGAAGCAGAAGTCTGCTGCCCTTAGTCAGGTTGTTCATGATGCTTTCAAGCATGTTTTTCGGGATATTCAAATTTAGTGTACAAATATGTGGGTATGGACAACTCTTTGATGACTATGCTTAAGGCTGGAAGTAAGGGTAACATACAGAAATTAGTGCTACACAGTATGTGCCTTGGTTTGCAAAACTCACTAGATCCATTATCTTTCAGAATTCCGAACCAGTTGTCGTGTGCTGCGTGGAATAATCAAAAGGTAATCAGTTCAGATCAGAAGGTTGAGGGAAGTGCTGAATGCGTTGAGTCCTACATCCCATCTGCTGTGGTTGAAAGCTCTTTCTTGACAGGCTTAAATCCGTTAGAATGTTTTATTCATTCAGTAACAAGTCGAGATAGTTCTTTTAGTGGAAATGCTGATCTTCCTGGGACTTTGACAAGAAAGCTTATGTTTTTCATGCGGGATTTGTGCACTGCTTATGATGGAACAGTGAGAAATGCATATGGGAACAAGGTTGTTCAGTTCTCCTATGACATATCTGTTTGGATCAAAACTTGAACTTTGGGCTCAAGGAAGGAGCTGGCCCAAAAGGAGGCCCAAAGGGAAAGATAGCCAGAACCCAGTCAAAGCCCAGAAGGCAGAAAAAGGTTTTTTCTGACTTGGTGCAGCTCATGAAAACCATTTGCTTACCTACCCAAAGGCCAAATGGTGTGGACAGATCACCTACACAGCCCATAAAGCACTTCACGGTGGCATTACATGTAAAAAAGCTGATGAGTCATCATCCTCACACCACATTCGGGCAAGGCTGCTGCTACAGAAGACCAAGCCGAGTTGTCTATATAAGAAGAAAGAAAAACCAGGAATAGAGACACTCAATCAAACAAACAAATGTAAGCACAAACTCTGCTCAAAGCCAGATTTGCCTTCAAAACAAAGCTGTAGTCAGCCTTCATCCCTCTCAGGACAAACCTTCATCCCTCGCGGGATAAGCCTCCCTTCAAACCTTTGTAATAGCTTTGCTACCTTGTTCAACCTTGCTGTAGTATCGATTCATCTTTTGTAATCTCTCTCTCTCTATCCCTCTAAGCTTTCAGACCTTTGACAAAACTACAAAAATAGGAACCTACAAGACGAGCAACCTTACCTGATAAGGTTTAACCTTGCCCGACCTTCTTTGTTTTGTTTTTGTCTTTTCAATATGTTGTATACTTCCAGTTATATGCAAGTTATTTCTAGCAATATGACTATTAAGAGGCTTTCTCAGTACTTGAATCCGATTTGAATATATCGTCAGTGTTCAAACCAGATCCAAGTCCTAAGCCCTCGGGCATGTAAATCTGATCAGTTAAAAGTCCTTGGCCTCAAGGCATAAAAAAGAACCTTATGTGGACTTAACCCATCCACGACAGTCCTTGATAAACGAGAAGTCCGAAGTTACTTGGGGCGCAAGTAATCGACCTACCCTCTAGTTTTCTTTCTATTATATTATGATTACCATAGAACGCTTGAACATGGAATGGATTCTGATGGAAAGCCTCAAGGCCTACACCTAAGGCCCCACAAAGGCATCCATTTGGATTCATTCCGTTCTGCAATCTAGAGAGTTTGAGTATAAGAACGAACTCTGATGGGAAGCCTCAAGGCCTACACCTAAGGCCCCACAAAGGCACCTATTTGGGTTCATTCTACTTTTTGGACTCGGGTAATCAGAAGTATAATAGTTAGAAAACTCCTGCAATCACGAGAACAGATATGATGTGTTCGAGCACCGGTTTAGTTATTGATGGGAAGCCTCAAGGCCTACACCTAAGGCCCCACAAAGGCACTTGTTATAACTAACACGGTTTCTTGGATACATACATATATACAACTAAAACACGACATCCATTTTACATCTGCCATGCTAAAGATGGCAGTGGCACGCCTGAGCACCTAAATGTTAACCTTGATTGTGAGCCTCAAGGCCTACACCTAAGGCCCCACAAAGGCACCTCTCAAAGTTAACGATGTCCTTCTTTTTCAGCCTTGCCCGACGAGCCTTGCCCGAAGAGTCTTGCCCGACAAGACTTGCCCGACGAGACTTGCCCGACAACGCCTGATAGTGAAGCAGAAGCCCGACAGCAGCCCTCAACCGGCGCCAACCTCCAGGGGAGCTGTGTGCTCGTCGACCAGGAAACATCCCCGATGAAAATTCCTAACGCGAACAATATCCTTGCCAGATAGCACCAGTACCGCACATGATAAGAGTGCTGCTGCTTGTGATGGTGTAGGTGGCGAACCTGTTGGCTTGTTGTCTGCTTGTGCGATATCTGAGGCTGCATACAGTGCTCTAGATCAGGCAGTTAGTCTTCTTGAAACTTCCCCGCTGCTAAATTTGAAGGTACTCTCTTCTCTCTCTATTTGGTTCTGAATATATCACTTTTAGTTAGATACAACAACCATGCTTATAAATTGACGATTTATTAACACAGATTCAACTATACTATTCTGGAAATACGTGTCAGTTTCTGAACTGGTTTAATTGTACAGAACATATCGGAATGTGGCTCAAAGAAAAGCAGTGCCAAGCAAACCATGTCTCTATATTTGTCTAAGAAGCTTGGAAGACAGAGGCACGGCTTCGAGTATGCAGCCTTGGAAGTTAAGAATTATTTGGAGGGGCTGAAATTTTCCGACATTGTTTCTACTTTTATGATAATGTCAGACACTGCTCATTGTTTTATCTTCTTATAATTTAATTTTCTTTTCTGTTTTGTTTAATTTACGTTTTTTAATTTCTTTATTATGTTGGTATCAGCTTCTCCTCCCACAAAGAGAGCAAAAAGCGTTTCAGCCCATGGGTTACTCACTTTCACATAGGCAAGGTAGTAGAAGATGTCACATGTAACATTTTTTGGTTTATACAAGCTCTATTCTCTGGTATAATTTTACTTCATTCAGGAAATTGTGAGGAGGAGAAGACTGAAGATGCGTTCCATTGTCAACTCCCTTTATGCGAGGTGCAACTCTGTCAGACTGGAACTAAAAGCTATTCTTCACAGTTTGCTGATTACAAGCAAGTAAGCTGTTAGCTTTCTTGGTCTTTTACTTGCTTTTACAACTGGATCTAGGAGTCATTTACAGTTTCCGCATAAATTCCTTCTGTTTTACTATGCTGTCACATCACGATCCATTACCCGTGAGCAATCGGCCTTCTCCATCTTGCTTTACCTTAGGCAGGGAAAGGCCGCAGTTACTCTCAGCCACACCTATTTGCTACAACATCAATCATTTCTGTCTTCAAACTGAATCCCTCTCGTGGATCTTTACTGCCCCATTTAACTTGGCTGATAAATGGCAGGGACTGCTCTGCAGCTTACACTTGCAACGGAGATAATGGTACATTTTGCATCACTGTCACTATGGCTGAAAACAACAAAAGTTCTTCTGAACAGCTGGATAAAGCTCGAGACTTAGTGATACCTTTCCTGCTTGAAACAGTGGTTAAAGGTTGGTTGTGCACCCTGGCTTATAGTTAGGCTATATGGGGTCGGGATGGGATAAGAAACTAGCGTGTGGCAGGGGTGGGGAATGGGGTTCACCTTGAAGTAGGAATGTAGGGTGCAGGTGGATGAATAGTTTAACCAAAAAGTATGATAAGATCATGAAATTGTTAGCATACAGACTGTAATCTTGTATGTAAGTTCCAATCAATCTATGAGTACTGAAGAAGAGGAGAATGAGAGTTTTTAGAGAAAGAGAGAGTTAAGCTCGAAGAAGAAGAAAAGACTCTGCATATTTTATTTGATTCATACCCACACACTTAGCACATGTAGCAAGAGTAAATATTACTTAATCTAAGATCACATCCTAGCTGCACACTTGGACTATGATCCAAGGGCTAATATTTAAAGCTGACTTCTTATTACATTTCAGCATATATACTTATAAACTAACACTCCCTTCTAAGTGATGTGCTGAAATTACTCCCAAAGCTGTCCTCAGTAATTCAAATCGATCCCTTGCCAAAGCTTTAGTGAATATATCTGCAATCTGCTCTTCAGTCTTGCAGTATATCAGATCAATTTCACCATCTTGAAGTGCATCTCGAATGAAATGGAATTTCCGATTAATGTGCCTGGTTTTGTGATGATGAACTGGATTCTTTGATATGGCAATGGCTGAAGTATTATCACACAACAACTTAGTTAATTCTGCTTGTTCTTCCCCGAAATCAGAGAGTACAAATCTTAGCCAAATGGCCTGTGCAGTAGCTTCTGCTGCACTGATGTACTCTGCCTCTGCGGTTGAAAGAGCAACACTGCTTTGTTTGATTGAGGCCCAAGAAAACACACCAGAACCAAGATTGAATGCATAGCCGGATGTACTCCTCATATCATCTTCACTTCCACTCCAATCACTATCACAATAACCAACCAACACTGCTCCTTTTCCCTTCTCATAAACAACTCCATAGTTCACAGTGCCTTGTATGTATCTCAGAACTCTCTTAGCTGTCCCCATATGCTTCTTGGTAGGATTGTGCATAAACCTAGCCAATAAGCTTGCTGCAAACATAATATCTGGCCTTGTTGCTGTCAAATATAGCAAACTTCCCACCATTTGTCTATATAGAGTTTCATCTGCCAGATCACTTCCATCTACTTTTGTAAGTTTTTCATTTATAGCTAATGGTGTTGCAACCGGCTTGCAATCCCTAAGTCCAAATTTCTCAAGCAAAGTCTTTGCATATTTCTTTTGATGCAAGAAGATGTAATTATCTGTCTGCAATACCCCAAGACCAAGGAAATGATGAAGTAATCCTAGATCAGTCATCTCATATTGTCTCATCATCTCACCTTTGAACTCAGCTATCATTTCCTTTGAACTTCCTGTGTAGATAATATCATCTACATATAGTGACACAATGAGAATGCCACTGTGAGATGTCTTGATATAAAGAGTAGCTTCACTCGGACTTCTGTGGAATCCAGCCTTTGCAAAATAGGAATTTATTTCTTCATACCAAGCTCTTGGAGCTTGTTTCAAACCATATAAAGCTTTCCTGAGCCTGTACACTTTGTCTTCCTTGCCCTGTATAACAAAACCAGATGGTTGATCCACATACACCTCTTCATTCAACACTCCATTTAGAAATGCCGACTTTACGTCTAACTGAAATAATTTCCATCCTTTCTGTGCAGCAAGGGCCACCAATGTTCTCACAGTATCAAGTCTTGCCACAGGTGCAAAAGTTTCATTAAAATCGATTCCAGGCTTCTGAGAGTAACCCTTTGCAACCAACCTTGCTTTGTTTTTCTGCACTGAACCATCCATATTTAGTTTTGTTTTATAAACCCATTTGACTCCAATGATTGGTTTATCAAATGGTCTATCAACAAGATCCCAAGTATGATTCTTCTCAATCATAGAGATTTCATCTTCCATAGCCTTCTGCCATGATTCATCCTTGGCAGCTTCTTCAAAGCATTCGGGTTCTATAATGCACAGATTACACTTCTCATATATATCTGCAATGTTTCTGTACTTGAGGGGAGTGTGATCAAAGTCCTGTGGACCTGTCACTCTTTCTTGATCAGATAGCTCAGTAACTAAGCTTGGCCCAACAATCTCTTCACTGACTTCACATTGTGTTTCAGAATCACAAGCACCTCCTTCACAGTCTTGTTCTCCTGCAGACATTTTAATGATCTGGATACTCTCCCTTCTTTCCTTTTGTGCATTCCAGTCCCAACATGCTTCTTCATTAAACACAACATCTCTGGAAATAGTCACCTTTCCAGATTCAATGTTATAAAGTCTATATCCCTTCTCACAACTACCATATCCCAAGAAAATACACCTCTTGCTTGCCAAATCGAGTTTTTGTCTCTGTTGACTTGGCACATGAGCATAACACAAAGAACCAAACACCTTTAGATGCTTAATTCCTGGTTTTCTCCCACTGTAAGCTTCAAAAGGTGTCTTCTTATGTAAGGCTTTGGTTGGACATCTATTCAGAATATACACTGAGGTATTAACTGCCTCAGCCCAAAATTCAAGTGGGATGTCTTTCTCCAACATGAGACACTTAGCCATTTCCACAATAGTTCGGTTCTTTCGCTCTGCCACACCATTTTGCTGTGGTGTGTATGGAGTGGTAAGTTGTCTTTCCATGCCTACATCTTCAACAAACTTGTTAAAATCAATTGAAGTGTATTCACCTCCTCGATCACTCCTAAGCTGCTTTAGATTATAACCACTCTGCAACTCCACAGTGGCTTTGAACTTTTTAAACACACTTAGAACTTCAGATTTATGCCTTAAAAAATAAACCCAACACATCCGGGTGCAGTCATCTATGAAAGTCAGAAAATATCTATTGCCAGCTTTTGTAGTTGTCTGCATCGGGCCACAAATGTCACTATGCACAAGCTCTAGAGGAATTGATGCTCTAGTATTAGCTTCCCTTGGAAATGCTTCTCTACATTGTTTACCGAGAACACAACCTTCACATACTCCTTTAGCTACTTTGATGTCTGGCAATCCTACTACCATTTCTTGTTCCTGCATCAATTTCAAACTGCTCATGTTTAGGTGTCCCAACCTTTTATGCCACATAGTAGTAGAAGCACATACATTTGCCTTGAAAGCAATATGTATTCCAGTCTGTAATTTCATTGGAAAACTTCGATTTCCCTTCATTGGAACTTTAGCAACCATGTTGGAATATGAGCTATCATCATAGATTTCCACCTTGTGACCTCCAAACACCAAATAATAACCGTGCTCCATCATTTGACCCACACTGAGCAAATTTTCTTTCAGTCCAGGCACAAGCATAACCTCCTTGATATATCTTTTGCCTAGTTTAGTGTCAACTACTAGACTCCCTTTACCAGTTACATCAACAAGCTGTCCAGTACCCATTTCAACTTTTGCAGTTACATTCTTATCAATATCCACAAGTAAATTCTCCCTTCCAGTCATATGATTACTACACCCACTATCCACATACCATACATCATCACAGTCCTTTACACTAGTATTAGTTTGATTACTAGCATAAAACATGGTGGGTGTAGATTCTACCTTATTCGCATAATTGACCTGTTGCACTGGTTTCTTGCTATTACAATCCCTTGCAATATGACCAAATTTATCACAGTTATAACACTTTGGTTTACCTTGAATCGGCACTCACCAAAATGTAGCTTATCACAATGTTTACAAGGATTTCTAGCACCATCAGTGGGTTTGTTATCCCACCTCTTCCCTTTTTCTTTCCAATTCTTATGGTACCTTGCACTTTGATTTCCAGTGAATTTGACTGGTTTGGGATTCACATTGAGACTAGCAAATGCTTTCTCAGTTTTGTGCTCAGAATGTCTATCTAGACATAGCTCAAAACTCTTCAAGGAAGCTACAACTTCTTGTACCTCAATCACATCCAAATCCTTCGAATGTTCAATAACAGAGCATATAGAATCATAAGTTGATGGCAAACTAATCAATAACTTTTGAACAATCCTCTCTCGAGATAACTCCTCTCCATAACTCCGCATTTGATTTATCAGATCAAATAATTTTGTAAGATAGACAGAAAGTGATTCATCATCTCGCATTCTTGTATATTCAAATTCTCTACGAAGACCTTGCAATTTAACATTTCTAACCTGTTTATCACCATGATACTCTTGTTGCAAAGTATCCCATGCGCCTTTTGAAGTTTCTTCATAAGAGATTCTGGGAAATATTTCATCTGAAACAGCTCCTTGAATCAGACCCAGAGCTTTAGCATCTTTCATCAGTCTCTCAGCTAGAGGTAGCTTCTCAATACTGCTCGATTCCTCCTTTTCTTTCTTCTTTCCATCAGATTCACCATCATCCTTCGAATCTGAACTCTCGAAACCTTTCTCAACCAGATCCCACAGTCCGTGAGATTTGAAAATCGTTTTCATCTTAATACTCCAGAACTCATAATTATCACCTTTGAAAATCGGTGTCTCACCTCACTACTACCCGATCCTGCCATGTTAGACTCAGATCACAAACAACTCGATTTCTGGGTAACACTCTTCACAGATCCAAACGCCCAGTATCAATTGATCAAACTAGGCTCTGAGGCCATGTTAGCATACAGACTGTAATCTTGTATGTAAGTTCCAATCAATCTATGAGTACTGAAGAAGAGGAGAATGAGAGTTTTTAGAGAAAGAGAGAGTTAAGCTCGAAGAAGAAGAAAAGACTCTGCATATTTTATTTGATTCATACCCACACACTTAGCACATGTAGCAAGAGTAAATATTACTTAATCTAAGATCACATCCTAGCTGCACACTTGGACTATGATCCAAGGGCTAATATTTAAAGCTGACTTCTTATTACATTTCAGCATATATACTTATAAACTAACAGAAATCGATGCTACGTCTTTTTCATTGTTTACCCTTAATTGCAGAGTTTAGAGAGTACATGTAATGACATCGGAAAGAAAATACTTCCCGAACATTTGATCCTTGCAGCAGATTGCCTATCATCCACAGGAGAATTTGTGGGTTTAAATGCAAAAGGCACTGCCCAACAACAAGAACACACATCTGTATCATCGCCATTCATGCAAGCGTGTTTCTCAGTAAGAGCCGTACTTAGTTTTTGGTTTATTTATTTTATCTATGCATTTTTTACGTTCAAATAAGGTTAATTTAGTCATAGTTCACTCAATCATTCTGGAACGTCGTGTAGACTCCCGGTGCTTGCTTTGTGAAAGTAGCCAAGGCTGGAGCTCTGGATGAACTTCCGGGGAGTTTGGAAGCCTTGGCATGGGGAAAGCCTCCTCCTTCGGGGACTGGCAGGCAATTTGAAGTTTTATTTTCTCAGAAGGTAGAGTTTAGACTGTTCTTGCTCATTTTTATGCTCTAATTAATTGTGGTAAATCAGGTTAATCTGCCAACTAAGGTGTTTTGAGGGACCCAAGAGTAGGCTTTTGGCTAAAAAGAGATTTAGCATTCCTCGCCTCGGTTCAAGAAAAACAGAGGATTATGGGGTTCAATTTCGAGGCATTTGTTCCATGACAAGTTACATCTTGAGCTGTTCTTTGCTGAAATTATGCTGGATTTCAATGACGAGGTTGTCTATAAATCTAATCTGAACCATTAATGGTTTTTTTTTTTAAAGTAACATGTAGCTTTATTATCAAGTCCCTTCACATTATAGTGATGACTTTTAAGTTGTTTTTTCGGATCTGTGAACTTATCAAAACTTCCAGAGTTTTAACTATGGGTAGATATCTTGAGCAATTTAGTTTGATCTAAATTTATATTTAAAGCAGTTAATTATAAGTAGATGTCTCAAAATAATAAAGCAACGTACAATCAAATTTAGCACTATACAAGCAGTGAAGCCCGCGCGATGCTGTGGGATTCAAAACTGTCTGGTTGCACTGCTGTGATGTGTCCCACAACATCTTGCAATTTGGCAATCCAATATCATAAGATTATAGGATGAAAAAATGTTGGCAAACAAAAATGGCATATAGATGTATGTTTATAAATGTGTTTAATTACCTATGAGAATTTCAACTTTATCTACATGGGATAACAATTCACTGTAATCCACTAAATAAAAGCGATGCTCAGGAATGTGTGGAGGTCCTTCTGTTATTTGTTTGCTAGAAAGCCAAGCGTTGTTAGTAGATGATGTTAAATATTTTGTAGATGCAATGAAAAGAATTCATCTCAAGGTAATTACAAATTCTCACTCTCCCAAATCTTACTTTGTCAAATGCTTAGAGAATTACGCATTCAATAAACCCATAAAAAAATAAAAACTCTAACCTACAAAAATAAATAAAACAATATACAATCAAATTACAGGAATATAGACAAAGTACCAGTTACATCTCTAATCTTTTTATATGGGGTCTTTTCCACATAACAGCGTCAACCAAAGATTGGAGCATACAAATAAACGATATTAAACTTTTCAACCAACAAAACCAAATATTCAATCAATTCAACCTACATATTAAATATTGTTCTCAACCCCTGTTGAAGAAAGAATAATACAGAGACCTGACTAAGTGAATATTATAGTCAATGTCCTGCAAATTTGCACATTAATATAGATGTGATTTAACTGATCAAATGTGATTTAATTTTGTATTTCAATCTGAACAAAGGCCACCCTTCAGACATAGTTCAACATAAATCAACGCGGAAAAATATTAAGAATTAAATTAATCAAATACAAAAATAGTTGTAGGTCATGGGATATCACTTTGGGATTTTCGTGGTTTACCTTTTCTTTAAAAATAAGTCAGTGCTTGATCATCTAGTCCTCCAACCTTCTGTTTCTCAATCTTCTGCAAGATGATTCAAATCAGAACCGTTAAGTTTCAGAAGAAACAAAATTAGAGGAAAAAGTGGTGCTTCCTACTTCAAACAATGAAAATGCGAATATTTGATCCCAATTATCCTTGAGTGACCTAAAAGAAGGCTGGGCGTTAGGACTGCTTACTCGAGCTCAACTGAAGCTCAACGGGGTCAGAGACGGAAATAGAACCCAAGGAGGAGAAAGAACGGTCAAAGCCAAATTCATACAACTAATTACCATTCAATCATATTAGGGGAAAATAATTAAACTATACAATAACAACAATTAAATCTTAGGAATGACAAAATTTTCTGTAGTTCAAAAAACCCATATGGAAACGTGTAAACAGTTCTCAAGGGAAATTACAAAATCATATTGAAAACCCCTATTGAAGCACATTAATAATCTAACTAATGAATGTGATTCAAGAAACAAACCTTGTTCAAGTGCAATCTACATATTTTACAGCAATAATCTGACCATTTGGCAAGCGGCCCTGAAGTTATGAATCAGTATTACTATTAGGCTTTCATGCTTTAAAATAAAAAAATAAAATAAGATAAAAAAAACAGTAGACTTGAAGAAACAGAACAAAATTACTGTATAATGCTTAGAAGAAATCATTCAATTGTAAAATGTGTAGGACTTCTGAATTGGGATTCACCTAATAAACAATGCCAAAACCCCCTTGGCCGAGTTTGTTAATGGGTGAGAAGTTATTTGTGGCTGCTATTATGGTGCTCAGACCGAAATATTGCAACTCGGGGTGTCTCCTCGCTTCCTCAAGTTCATCTATCTCCACATAGTCTGTGCTTTCACATGAACCAATTGTAGACATTCATTAAGATGAAATTGCATTGCTTTTATTTAGATCAAACCGTTAAACAATTAGAGGGGATGACTACTTCTCATACCTTTTGTTTTACTCTTTTTCTTATGCCGCTAGCAGGCAAACACAATGATTAATACCCATGCCAGCAGTACCGAAACTATTGGAATAGCCATAGCACCCCTCCGTCTCAAAAAACCTTTTGATTTGCTGGTATGCTTAGCTACACATTCAAGTCGGACAAAGGATTAGGAAACCATGAAAAACAGAAAATCCCAAAAAAAAAATCAATAAGTAACCTACTTAACATATTAATGTAGGCAAATGTGAATTTGAATGGCTTAAAACTCAATAGGTAACCTACTTAACAAACCAATTTGAATGGCTTAAAACTCAAAAATTGTGAAATTTTATACAAAAGTTTCGATCAGACCTTATTTCAAAAACATTCCTCTGTTCTTCTTGAGGCTGCGGAACAACTCCTCCACCAAAACTGATTTACAGCATCTGTTTCAAGCCTAATCATTATGAGTCAATTTGGAGATTTGCTAAAAGATCTCAAAAATTAAATGAATAATTCAAATAACAAAAAAAAACATATCTAAAGAACCCATAACTTTAAAAGAAAAACTATCCAAAACCCTGAAAATTTAAATGAAGAATTCTAAAATGTCTGTGCATGTTGATTTTCCAAGGGTGGGAGAGGAAATTGTACATCAGACTAACAATTCTTCATATGTTTGAAGAAAAATCTACGTGCATGCGACATCTACAAAGCTTTCTAAGCTTACCCAGGGGCCCAAATACAACATAATTAATAAAACTTCAAAAACTCCCACACAAATTCATTCATCAAACCCCCAAAAAAAATTTAAAAAACCACAAACGAAAAGCAAAAAAACACAGAAAAAATTTATCAACACAACGACTAAAGACACCCAAAAAAACCAAATTGAAAAATCATGGGGGCAAGTATCAACCAAGAACTCACCCAAATAGAATCCAATGAGGAGAATGAATCACTGGGAGATAAGGAGAGCGGCAAGCCAAGGACGTACAGCGAGTCAAACGTGTGGAGGCGGCGTTCATGTCATGGGCGAGCAGCTCGAATCGGCAAGGAAGTTGTCGTAAGGTTGATGGTGAAGAAATAACGGAGGAAGCACGGAGGAAAATTGTGATTTTGAATGGATTATTGTGATGCATGTGGCATTTAAAACCTTAAGAAAAGATTAGGGGTTCTTAATTTCTTACCCAAATCCACAAACTTGAATCAAATCTTTGCAACCCAGCTTGAAATCCCTTTGAAATGACCTACACGAACACAGATCTTACATGCAGAACATTTTAGATGAAGTTGTGAGAAGGGTTGATGGAAATTGAGGAAACAACCAAATTCCAATCAAAGTTAGACATGCATTCAGAAATTCACACCCATAAAAACGTTTCAAAGCTTACCGATGATGTTGGGGTGGAATCGTGAAAGTGAAGGGGAAAGAAGAGGCGGTCGGATTCGTGTTGTGGTTTATGGATTGGCAGCAGAAGAAGAATTATGCGGTGGGGGAGGAAACAGCCAAATGGTGAGGGAAAAATAACAAACAAGTCTCCGGAATTTTCACGCGTCGCGAAACTGTTAAGCATTTGACAGCAAAGCAATAGGGGCAAGGTTGTAATAATAGACAAATAAGCGAGGGCAAAATCAGAAATCCACTGTACTATGAATAGTGATTCAGGCGTTTTTCTCTTTTATAATCAAAGTTAGACATGCATTCAGAAATTCACACCCATAAAAACGTTTCAAAGCTTACCGATGATGTTGGGGTGGAACCGTGAAAGTGAAGGGGAAAGAAGAGGCGGTCGGATTCGTGTTGTGGTTTATGGATTGGCAGCAGAAGAAGAATTATGCGGTGGGGGAGGAAACAGCCAAATGGTGAGGGAAAAATAACAAAGAAGTCTCCGGAATTTCCACGCGTCGCGAAACTGTTAAGCATTTGACAGCAAAGCAATAGGGGCAAGGTTGTAATAATAGACAAATAAGCGAGGGCAAAATCAGAAATCCATTGTACTATGAATACTGATTCAGGAGTTTTTCTCTTTTAGTATATATATAATTTCGTACATTGCTACATCAATCTAATTTTTTTAAATAGGTTCGGCTTATTATCACTTCAATGAACATTGGACACCTAGATTTTATAATTCTTATTCCCTTCTTTTATCATCAGGGGCTCAACTTATCCAAGCCACTCTATGTTTACGACATGCTCGGCTGCCAAGTTGGTTCCATTAAGGAAAATGAAGTTAAAGTGCCTGATGCTTGGAACATCTCTAGATCAGTCATTAAAAAGTATCTAAAGTTCAACGATATTCTGAAGTGGTCTCAGACATGGAGGCACATATTACGCACGTAAGTTAACCCCTAGGATGTTCCTGTCCATTTTGTCTCTTTCATTGCATGATACTGCTTTGACTTCCCAGTACAAGGTTGATCATATCTTGAGCTTTTGTGTCATGTTGCAATTTCTAGGTAGTATTATCAATTTATCATCACCCACCTGTTCATTTGTTAGACCAAAATCAGCGAATATATACTTCTTCCGCCTTTTATATCTGTTGACCCTAGAAACTACAAAGCCTACGTGGCGCGCAGGCCGAGTATATTCTAAGCTAACTACGTCCTTCGGTGATTGCGGGGCGTGCCAACTCGTCGGCCGAGGCTCGGCCGAGGAGTAAATTTGATGATGCTGTGTTGAGTCGCGCTACTGACTTCTGCGTCTTGCGATTGCGGCCGAGAAAGGAACACGTCTCGGCCTCTTGGGTTCTCGAGCCTGAAGACAAGGCTGCTATTTCTTACAAAGTTCACGAACCGAATTCGGCTTGCAATGTGCCGAGTGTAATAACTGTGACACCTCACCTCGCCGAGAAGGCTAATGAGATGACCTCGACCAACAAGGATTCGAAAACCCTTCTCGACCGAGACTTGGATAGGTAACCGACCGTTTCTCGCCGCAGTGCTGTTGATGCCAACGGAAGATACTGCGAGACCGACCGACTCTACGGTGACAGAGCTATCTATGCCGACTTAAGATACCACCGGTTGCTTCCACAGTGCTGTTGATGCCAACGGAAGATGTGTCAGCGAAAAAGGAAAAGAAAAAGATCTCAAGTTGTGAGAGTTTGCGCAGGGCAAATTTGTATTGATTTTGTGGTCCTTTTCCATTGCTGAATGTCTTGTATTATAGTAGCAGAACACCGAGCCCGAGTTCCAATCCTATTCGAACTAGGTTTCCCTTTCCGGATTAACATTACCTCGATCAGTCCTATCTCTGCTAGGACTACGAATCTAGTCCTTAACTGAGCCGGATTTGCCTTCTAGTTTTACTGATCTTGTCGAGGGTCCCTATTGTATTAGGACTCGACTTGCACTCTGATTTAACCGACCTAGGCTTGGAAGCCCATGAGCTGAACGCCCCATGACCCTCTCGCCGTACGTCTTCCCGGGCCGAAAGTGATTCCTCCCTCGGCCCAAACTGTTATTTTGGGCCCAAACATTGCCCCCTCGCTTCTGAGGTCCTCGGCCTGAAACCTTCGGCCGAGTTTCGACCTTGAAGAAGCGAATCTACCACTCAGGATCCCAATACCCGAGTTCCAAGGCGCATTTATTGAACACGATCGCACGATCTTGATCCTGCTAAACCACTCGCCACGTGGCATCCTCCAACATGGCCAATCCCCGATAATGACGTCTGAAGCGTGCGCCTGCCCGAACCGTCTTGCCATTATGACCACTATCTCAATCCGCGAGCCATTACATCAGTCCGTGAGCCCACCTGTCATCGTGCAGGCGTCGAACCGTCTTTCGTCATTAACTTCGCCGTCACACACGCGATCGTGCGCCCCCAAAACCTAAAACCGTCGGTCTTCTCAACCGCATTTCCCAAATGTTCATCATGATCAACGATTCCTCCGGTCGATTTTGCCCTTTGTTTTGAATTTCGAACGATTGCTCTTCCCCCCCATAACTCTATAAATACCGAAATTCCCTCATTTGTACTTTTACGCTCTCAAACTTCCTGAAATCCTCTGCCATTGATTTCTAGTGCATTTCTCCTATTCCAAGTCTTCGTCTTTAAATCCCCAACCCAGACAACCCTTTTACTCCGTGCCTCTTTCTCACAATGGCGTCCTTCATCTCCAAGCTTTCCAGGGAATGTGACCAACACCAGAAGATTGTTGATCGGAGCTCGATCAAGACCATCCGGTTTGAAAACGACATGAGCACCCAGTACCAAATCCTGGGTCCTCTATTCAAGGCTACAATACCGCCGACTATCATCGGCCTTCTCCAGGAGCACTGCCTAACACCCTTGCTTCAAGGGTTTGAATGGTCGCGATGGGATGCGGCTAAACCCCAGAGCTCCTGGCCCTCGACGACCACATCCTGGGCAGCCTGGGTCGTTCGAATGGAACGACTCTTCGGCGAGCAATGGAAGGCTCTTGGCATCTACGACGCCATTCTCCTTTCGTCTATGGAAATCGTCCCCGACAAGGAGCTTCTCCAAGCCGCTCTGTGCTTTCTGGTGCTCGGCCACCAACACGATGGTCCTTCCTCTGGGTCCCATTGGTCCCACCGTCCTGGATATCACTGCCATTCTGGGGACTTCGGCGACCGGGATCCCTGTCGACGCGACCCTCTCTGGGCATCCGTCGAATATCGACCTGAAAACGCTCTTCGACCGTCGGGCCTTCGAGACCTTGAACCGTGACGGTCATATCCCGTCAAAGGAAGATATTCAGAAGCTCCACAAGAACTTCTGCAATTACAACACCCTCTATCTTCACTTCGCCGGCCGAGGAGAAGAGGACCTGCGAGAGGGAGAGCATGAAGCCTTCCTCTTCTACTGGTACAACAAATACGTTTGTTGTACCAAGTCAAACAAGTGTTTGGTCGAGAACATGCCGGTAGCCGAAGCCCTGGCTAGTGGTCACGTCTTGGCACTGAGTTCCAATATTCTCGCCCAACTTTTCCGCTGCCTGGCCGAGGCGACCCTCCACAAGGTCGACCCACACCAGAATGGTCCTCTCTGGGTTTTCCAACTCTGGTTGCAGGTATACTTCGCCTCCTTTCGGCCGGCCATAGCTGAATTCTCACCAACAGAGGCGCTTGGACCTCAACTGGCCTCTCGACCGACACCTCCCCATCAAGCCGAAGAGGTATTTCGGTACCTCTTCGCTCTCGACGACTTCTCCAACGACGAGTTCCTAATATGTCGTCGTCGAGACTATCCTTCCTCCATCAGGCTGCCTACCTCCCCATGGAGCGCGGAGGAGGACGCCGATCTTCGTCAGACCTGGGGGTCGTTTGTGCTTGCTCGCGACCTCCCTCTCGGCTGTGATGGGAAACGGTCAGGTTGGGAAGTATATCATCCGAACTTCCTTGCCCGACAGCTCGGCTACCTTCAGGGCTGCCCTATCCCCCTTCTCTCCTCCCGAACGGTCCTAAGCCGTGGACGCGAACCTCGTTCCTCTGAGAAGGAGTGTAGAACCGCCGTGAGGGAATTCCAAGAGCACTGCCAAAAATTCCGGCTTCGACCAGCCACCCCAGAAACTCATTGCACCGACACCTTCGGTGAGTGGTGGGAAAATTACACCCAAGAGTTCTTTAGTGCGCCGGTCGAAGATGTGGTGAGCAGACTCTTCGGCGACCGACCTAAGAAGGCCTCGGCCCCTCATACTCAAGGTACCTGTTCCATTTTCCTCCTTTCCATCAACCTTGCATATTGATTTGCCTCACTGAATTGTCTTTATCTTTTTAGGTAGTCGGCCTTTGAGAAAGACGGAGGCATTTGCCGCTGCTACGGCCGGGAAAAAATCGGTCGTGGCCCAAAAGGACAAACCCGCTGGTAGGGCCGTGCTGATCAAACGGCCTCGCCAAGAGGCCGGGTTGGCTATCGAGCCTTCCCCGCCTGCCAAGTGGGTCAAACAATTGGCGAAGAAAGGTGCACGGGAGATCCACGTTATCTCCAGCCACACGACGACTCCCAGTGCTTCCCCTTCTCCCGCCACCGGCCATTCTGGGGTCAAGAAACAGCCGGCTTCGGCCATAGAGACGGCCCCAGCGCGGCCTGCCTCTGTGGCCGGCGAATCAGTTGTACCTCCCTCTGTCGAGAAGGCACCTGTCTCACAACAGGCGGTTCCTACGATCGAGGGAACCTCTCCCAAGAATCCAAAGCCCACGGTCTTCGTGTTGGAAGAGAGTGAGGGGAGCGACGAGGTCCCGCTGGCGCGTCGTCCCCATACTCGTCAACAACCTCCTCCAGTATCCGAGATGGCGGTTCAAACCGGCTCCTCCTCGGCTAATCGTGGCAAGCGCACGGTCGAGGAACCGACCCCGGTGGCCGAACCTCTCGTTCCTTCTTAGGACCAGGACGTCCCTGCCTCCACTGAAGCAGCTGCGCCAGTCGGCCCATCGGCAGCCGACCGTGGCAAACGGCTGCTCGAGGAACCCGAGGCCACCGCGGAATCGCCGGTCCATCCTCAAGACCAAGGCTTCCACATTCCTCCACAGGAGGTTACCTCGGCTTTTGTAAGTACCTTCAATTTTCCTCCTGATTGCTTTTCTGCTTTAGAATTCTGAACAAGGAAAAACTAAATGTCAGGTGCCTGTACATTCTTTTCACCGTCAATTCTATGCGCCGAAGGGCGTTATCTATATTTCCTGGCCGCCTCAGTGGCCATCAAACGTAGATAACCTCCATCGGCCGCGTGAAGTGAGAAGCAATCTGAGACACTGGGCTCGGCCATTGAGTTCTTTAGGTTCGAGCAACGACCCTGGGGACATGGCCGAGGTCTCCTCTCGGCAGGTTCAAAAAACGACACCTTCTTGCTATTCTTGTCATGACTTCCTTTAAGCTTAACCTTGTCTATTCGTGCAGGCTTCATGGGAGGTTGAATTCAAAGCTCTCATCTCCAGCACGACTGCAGAGTCCGGCCCTTCGGCCGCTCCGACTGAGGCTGCCGATCCAAGCGCCCTAGCCCAGTTGCGAGAAGTCCTGTCGCTCTCATCATCGCAAGTACTTGAGCGCAATGGTCTTGATCTGCTCGGCGTGTGTCTGAACGACCTTGGAGCCGACGGTCGCCTGAGCGGAGATGCCATTGTTCGGGCATCGTCTGCCTTGGAGCGCGTTCGGGAGACATTTAGCATCTTCCAGACTGCTCTGAAGGCCGAACAGGACCTGCAAGCCGCCACGGCCGTTCAAGACACCCTCCGTCCGAAGATTGACGATCTACGGGCAAAAGGAGAAGCGTTAGCCGAGCTCGACCGTCAGATGGCCGAACTAGCAAAACGCCGGTTGGTCATTGCTTCTGAGCTTGCGAGGGACTTCGAGTCAGGCGGGAAGGATCGCC